TATTGCATATTTAGAGCTCTCATGTATATTACACATTGACATTTTGACATTGTTTGTCGATTTGTAGGTAGTGTGATGCTATCGAATATTGATGGCTTTTGAGAAGATATGTAACAGCTCTTTCCTTGCAAATAATTCATTCACTGAAATAACAAAGACGTGTTAAGATCGGGTATGTTTCAAAGACGTGAATATCCCTTGTACTTAATGGTATTAGAAAACAAAGGAATATGGATTAACTTGGGGTATCATGATCATCCAGAAAGAGACCCGAAACAAGTCGTACACAAACCGTTGTAAGCAAAGTGTGGCGCCTTATAAAAGTTGAGAATCCACGAACACAAAAGTCATTAGTAATAGCCGTCCAGGTGGTCCAGGCAACAGTAAAGCAACACAATCAAGAAGGATCTCCATCTGGAAAAGCAACACTAGTCACATGTAAACAAGCTGCTTTCAGGACATATTCATTAAACAGTTACATACCTTAAACAGCTGGAGAATGATACAGATATTTATGCTATTCCATACGAGGACGTATTGGTCAAGTCGCCAGATGCAGCCCTATTGATTTCTGTGCAATCGTACTGTTGAAACGGGCGTTGAGAAATCGTCGTCTTTGTTCCCTGGATGGGTTATAGAAAGCCTGCAGAGAATGTTGGCATGCTTTCTATATAACAGTCTTACAATGAAGGCTTTTGGAATGTAAGCTACGATGCAGAATTCCACAGTCTTTACACTATGGTCTTAATATCACTGATTTGTAGAATATTGAGAAGTTTTTATATTTCATTTTATAATGACATTTCTATTTAGTAACTATTTTGAGCTGTATTAGAATATTTAGTTGTAAAATATCTTAAATGAAGTCAGGAATTATGATTCGAAAAATAAATGAACGAGATGAAAATATTAAGATTGTAATGAGAACAATTTGAAATAATCCTCGAAATGAATTTGCATGAAGTAGCATCTCTGTAATGCAAATACAATAACACTCTTGGCCAAAGAATACATATCACACACATATATATATATATAAATCACTGTACTTTAAACTAGTCAAAAAAAGTTCAGATACACAGCACCACCAGGCCATTGCAGGCGACAGAATGGAAAAATACAGTTTTAAAGATATTTTCAACCTTGTTAATCGTTTGAAACAATTGCAATTTTAAAACAATGTACAATTTTTGGAGGTAAACATTTGGGGCAAAACAGCTGGTTTCTGTTCACATATTATCTTATCTTTTCGTGATGTATTACCACAAAATTATTCTAAAAGTTGTGTTTACAACAATTCTTCGTTACGCTACATAACAGTTTCTTTGGAAGGTCTCCCGGTGGGACAGTGGTAAGTATACGGACTTACAACGCTAAAATCCGGGGCTCGATTCTCCATGGTGAAAACAGCAAATAGCCCAATGTGGGTTTGTTCTAACACGCTCTTTTGAAGTTTTATATTCGGACCGTTCAATAGTTAGGTGGAGTGAATATGAGACCCAGATTAGCTCGTAACTTGCTAATTAGTTTTGTCTTTCACGACAAAGTATGATTAAAATCTTATCTCTCAAAATTTAGCCATTTATACTGTAGAAGATGAGGATGATGTTTTGTGGTTATAAAAATTAAGATTATGTGATAAATGTTTATCTACTTAAATAATTTTACTATTTATTACATACTCGCGTTTATGTAAGTGAACAAGACAAGACACTAAAAATGCACAATTAGGCAAGATTACATCCACGAAAAAGTAAATAACTTATGACCAAAAAGAAAACTCTTTTTCCAAAATGTCTTAAATTGCTTATAGAAAAATTGCAGTGAATATAGTGTGACGTGAACCTAAAGGGCTGGGGGTGACCCATCTAGCGTGCCTGACTGTGAATCCGAGTGTTCATGACTCACATCACGTTGCCGCAAAAACTTTCTTTGTGTGTGTGTGGGGT